AATTACAAGATTACATACTCAAAACCTTAGAAATTAATCATAGTATCTTAAAACTCTAAAGCTTTAAAGTAAGCAAATTGGTAAGAATAGTTGCAAGTTGCCAACTCAAACATTCTCTGTCTTCTTATAGGCTTTACTAAGCATAATATCCAAAAACAAGTTGTAGCATTCAAATATGATGCACACATAGTGAGTTGATACAAATAGGCTTATTATGAAGAAATGACTTGAATATAAATGAAGGAATAAATGTAATCCTCAAATCTATGCATGCATATGTTAACTTATAAATAGATGAGAGGAACTATTTATTATAGGGTAAAAATTGAAGGGGTCTACTAATTTATATTATAGTATATGTATATGTTACTAATCACTAAGCTCTCCTGTAAATGTGTTCACTTTTTTTTTACCAGAATAACCTCCCACATCTAAAAAGAAATTCATAAATGCTTTGACTTCTGCTCTCAGATATGAAGATATCTTACCTAATTGACTGTTATTAATTGTATTATAATTGCAACTGGTTCTTTCTTCCCTACCAGTTCCTTGTAACTCAGTCATTCACTATTTATGTTTTATAAGCTCTATAAACAGAAATAATGCTGAATGCCTGTAATAATTTTATGATATTTCTAGACTATAGTGGTAGATGTTCTGGTGACTAACATGTAGGAAGTTATTGTATGTTTAAAATGTAATAAAATCATGTGAAAAACATTACTGCAACAATAAAAATGCCTTTCAATTGTGATGCATATATGTGTGATTTAAATAATTTGACAGTGAATAAGGACAGGGTACTGTATGGTTGTCAAGACCAAATATAGATCTCCATTGGCTTTCCAACTGATGCATTCAAAATTGTAGGGAAAGGAGCTATGAGACCAAAAGAACTTAACAAAGCTCATATTAGATACAAATGAGACTTCCAAAAGGTCAGGTGAAGAAACAATTGGAGGCTATTTCATGCTTTAGAACAGAATGAAAAAAAAAAAATACAGCTCCGGCTTTAGAAGAAACATGCAGGAAAAGCCTGTTAGTACAGAGACAACATTTTAATCTGTAGCTAAGTCAATGAACTATTAAGTACAAGAGAGTGGGAATCCATGTCAGTGGTACAGTGTTTGCATTGCATACATGGAACACTGGGAGTTGATACCCAGCATTGACACAGTGGCATACATAGGGCACGATTGTAATCCCAACATTGAGAGGTAAAACAAGAGGGAGAAAAGTTCAAGTTCATCCTTAGCGACATAAGAAACCCCAGGCAGAAAGAGAAAATAAATAGAGGAGAGAGTGTAATGGAGAGGAGGATGGAGGTAAAAAAAAAAATGAGCAATTGATTTTTTTTCATATAAAAAGAAAAAAAAAACAGTAAAAATTTTACTGGTGATAGTGCACAGTACATACATGTGTGATTGGGAGGAAATTAGAATAGAGACAGTATAGACTATTAGAATTAGAATATAGACAGTATACAGAAATATTGTTGCTTCCAGTTCCATTCAAACTAACCCTTCCCTGACACCTTTTGCTCTGGCATTTAAATAGATGTGATATTTGGTAAAATTTGGGTAAGATTTTATTTACACACTTTCGCTATATAGAAGGGCATTGCTTCATATCAGGGAACATATATGATTAATAAGAATAAAGAATGCAGAGATCCAGACTAATGTTTTAACCACAAGCAGGGTAAAGATGATGACCTTGAAAGAGATGATGGACTAGGGTTACAGAGTGGAGGTTGAATGCTTCCTCTCTATCATGAAAATATTCTATTCTGCCATTACCATGTAAACACTGAGCATACTGGTCATTTTAAAAAATAGCCCGAAAGTTTTACGAAAATTCATACAAAGGTTTGCATTTGGTGCAGTAATGATAGAACTAAGATTGTATTTCTTTGGATATTGTTTTCCAATTTAAAGTAGAATACTACAATTAACTTTCAGAATAACTAGCCAATAAGCATGCATGCTTTCCATTTGCCTTGT